GAGAGCGAGGAGAGAGACCATGGAAATTAAGAGAGAAGCAGATCTGGAGAGAGGGAAGATGGACTTATTTTGGAGTGTAATGGTCATGGCGGAGAGAGAGGTCACGGGCGGCGGCGGCGGCGACGGCGGAGGGCGTTGGCCACGTCAGTCTATAGTTATCTGTGTCAGTGTCAGCTTCTGGACCGACGCGAGCACTTGTGATTGCTATTAATGTCCGTCTATTATTTCTTTTGTCGTCTTACGAACTGCAAATTTCATTTTTCTATTAATTCTTTTGTAACTCAAAATTTCATACATAATACAAATTTTATATTTATAAATGAAATATATGCTAAAATTCTAAAGGAAATAAATGGGATAGAAATCAAAACGAATGAATTAAAATTATGACTTTTCTGACGTAGAGGAACTAAAATAAATTTTTGAAGGCAAAATAAAAACTAAAATAAATAAATTTATTAGAGTAGCTGCGTAGCTAGATCATTAATATATTAGTTTGTCAACTGATGGTTTGACATATAAATATCTGTCATTGAATAGCAAAATTAACCTGTGGATCAACGAAATCTTTTTTTTTTCCTCTTTTGGTCCAAATGACATGTCTAAAGGTGAACAAATACATTCATAAATAATAATTTAATAATATATTGTAATAAATTTTTTATAGAATGATTTTATTGACAATAAAATTGAGAATTTTAAAAGGATAAAATTTAGAATAGCTAACAAATACTATTTGCTATATCTAGCCCAATATATTGGATTACAATAATTGTACTCCAAAAGATGAGAATAGACCCCAAAAGATGAAAATTTATAGTATGTAATTTATAATAATAAAACAAATTTTTTAGAGCAATGAAGATTCATTGAGAAAGTTGGAAGCGATCTGTGTTTAATGCTCTGTTATTTTTCTAAAATCATGATATGCTAGCTAAACAAAGTAGAAAGATATATAAAAACTCAAATAGCCTCCCTACCATGATCCTCGAGGCGAGTACTTTAAAATAGAGAATTTAATCGAGGCCAACATGGGAAATAACTCAACTTATGCAGAGAGAAACATGCTAGTGGAAGAAAACTTTTTGAAAAGGGATATAAATGTTAGCTCCCTTATAAAGGATTACAAACATACTTTTATCCAAGAGTTGATTCGTTCTCAGAATTCTGCTCATCTTACCAGCATAAAGGGAATTTTGAATGAGAAAAAGATAACACGAACTAATTTCTTTGATTCGGAGGCCGACCGAATTTTATAGATTCGTTTTGCTAAAAAGAGATATATGGAGGATGATATCATTTGGAGCCCCGACAAAAAAAAAAACCTAAACCATGGTGGAGACATCTTCATCTAATATGGATAAGCAAAGTGGTAGATGTAATTGCCTTTGGAAGACAAAACTGCCTCTGGAAAACAAATACCTGGGGCTCAAAAATAGCAAAGGAAATCATCCCAGATTCAAAGAAGTCTACAAAACCTCTGCCCAGCATGCACTAATCAATAACAAAGTGAACATTTTCCCAAAAAAATATTCGAGACATGAACACGGATGCTGCCTGGTTCGATGATCGCCGGCTCAATTGGGTGACCATATATTGGAATGGTGAAAAATCGTACTATGTCGTCCCTAGATGAAAGTAATGACTATTTTAGAAGGTTTGAAGAACTTACCTTAAAACAGATTCCTTAAAAGTGAAAAGGCTGCTGAAGTAAATTTTGTGGAGGAAATTACAAACTTTGTGGATGATAACAAAGTAAGCTCAATTACAAATATGAAGAGAGAAACCAACCAAATTGCCCACCAATCGCTGGAAGCGCGTGAGTGAGACGAACTAAAAAACCAAAAAACAAAACAAAAAACAGAAAGGAAAAAACAACAAATCTTATCAAATTTAATTTATATATCCTAAGATTTATGTTTCAAATTGTGCTTCTTAATATCAAATGTTACTTTATCTACGATTATTCTTTAGAATACAAAATTCATGACATTCTAAATCTGGCGGCCGTTAGTTCTTTGTATTGCTTCTGACTATATCACCAAAACTTGCTAGGTTTGTTATATTAAGCTATTTTTACCTTATACAGTTTATATAAAATAGATCAACTATTTATCCAGAGAACATATGTTATAACTTGTACATTACAATCTAAGGGGAATCGGCCTCATGGTTCTATTCGTTCCTCCTACTAGATTATAAAAGAGACAAATTTTTGGTAATTTATATACATTATATATTATTTCAGAGCTCTGTCAATAACTACTAGAAAATTGAGTTTCTATGACAGTTATAACACACTAAAAAAGTTTGGAAAAAAAAAACGGTTAGAAGTTGTGGGGCACATTTTTTGGGAAAAATGTTACCTAATTTTTTAAATTTTATGACAGTTAAACTTGTCACGAAAACTGAATTTTTTTTTTTATTTAATATGACACTTAAAAATTGTCACGAAATGATGACAACACGATTTTGGTGGGAAAAAATGCAAATTTTCGGATTTTGTATAATTTTATGACAGTTAAAAACTATCACGAAAACTTGTTTTTTTTTTTATTCAATGGCAGTTAATTTTTTCTTCTTTCTGGATTTCATTACAATTAAAAAAACCTAATATCTAGTCCAGAGCTCGTTTTTCAAAAATACATTTTTTTAACCATCACAATTTTGTTTAACCATTTCAAACTATATGTAACAAAAAATTGTCAAAAATAGTTTCGGGTGTATTTTTATTTTCAACAATTAAATACACTCTTACCCTCTGTTTCACATCAATAATGTTCAAGAAATGATTTTAAATTCTGTGATTTAAAGTTGGAAAAATGATCGACAGTTCTTTATCTTGTTTGGAACGATAATAATTTGAAATAAATATAATTAAATTGAGTTGTTTGGATGTTTGCAGGAAATAAAAGGATAAAAAATTCATTGATTTAGGCTTAATTTTAATCTAAATTTATAATTTAAAAATATAAATATGACAATGTTATAAGTAATTTACTTCGAAATTCTGATCAAGATTTTTCGACCATTCTGATCAGGAAAATTTCGACCAAAAGGTCATGAGTTCGACTGCCCCACTTTCATATGTTGTACGAAAAAAACTTATTTAGGTCGATTTTTATGGATTTTTTGAATTTTTGTGTTGTACTATTATTATACAATCAGGTCGCAAATAAAACTATATCAAATATTACTTTTCATAACATTTAAAACAAAAAACGCTACAAAAATTATGCAAGAAAAGGAATTCCCATAATTTTTCTTTTAAAGGAAGGCGCCCGAAAAAACACTCAACCCTAAACCCCCCTCCAACCCTTGATGTAATGTGAATATCGTTTTCGTTCAAACATATGTTTACCCTTTGTTTGACATCAAGAATGTTCAAGAAATGATTTTAAATTCTGTGATTTAAAGTCGGAAATATGATCGACAGTTCTTTATCTTGTTTGGAACGAGAATAATTTGAAATAAATATAATTAAATTGAGTTGTTTGGATGTTTGCATGAAATAAAATGATAAAAAAATTCATTGATTTAGGCTTAATTTTAATCTAAATTTATAATTTAAAAATAAAAATATGACAATGTTATAAGTAATTTACTTCGAAATTCTGATCAAGAATATAATTTTCGACTATTCTAATAAGGAAAATTTCGACCAAAAGGTCATTAGTTCGACTCCCCACTTTCATATGTTGTACGAAAAAAACTTATTTAGGTCGATTTTTATGGATTTTTTGAATTTTTACTGTGTTGTATTATTATTATGAGAATGTTTCATTGTTTATTGAGTTTTAATCGTCCCCTTATGTTCGTTCATTTGTAATGCCCCACGTTTTCAAGTTAGACTACTTAAACTTTTAATTTATATCTTCGAATTCGAATTTTTATATTTTTATTAGGAGCCTTGAATTAAGTTAGTTTAGTTTTACTTTT